GATTATTGTTCTGATATTTTCTTTTGTTTACCTATTCTTATATCTTAGGCTGAATCTCAGTGTAGCGTTACTGTTAGCTTGAAGCTCTCTGGAGATGAGCACATTTTATAATGGAGTAATCGGGACCAAGTTTTTTTGGCAGGTGTGCCATAAATTAGCCCCACAGCCTCCCCAAGTGCTACACTGATTCTCATCCCCTGCCCAATCTGACGCTCTGCTTCCTGACCCATCTGCTGCTGAGTTCCCCATCGCCTCCCTGACCTGCTGCATGCCACAGAAGCCAGTGCCATTTGTGGCGCACATGCTGCAGGTTGGTAATACAGGACAGTTCTAGAACTACAAGTAAATCATGTTACAACTTCACTAAAACATGACTGCAGTTATCTTGACAAACAAAAATATAAATATACATAGAAGAAAATCCTGAGTCAAGTGTGAACAAGTATTCAATACTGATCAAGATTTAAGGCATTGGGAATTAAAAAAAAAAAAAAAAAAAACTTAGTTAAAAAAAAAGAGAAACTGGAGAGAGATGGAAAAACAACACGGTACAGCCAAAACCTGTCCATCATGGAAAGACTAGGATGTAAAACATTTCAAGAGTGAAATGAATATGGTTTAGAACCAAGCGTCACCTCAAAGTTGCCAAAAAATTGGCTATGCCACATTAGAGCAGAAGAATGTAGGTTAACTATGAGCCTTGAAATGGAAGGTTAAGACACAATTATTTCTACCACAAATTAAAAGTGTACTCAAAAAAGAAGGATTAGGTAGAAAGTGCCTGTACAGGGAGGCAAATTCCACTGAGAAGAAAAGATGACATTTTACAAGCTTTTAATCACTGAAAAAGTGAACATGCGACAGCAATACCTACTAATTATTAACTTTTGGAGGACTGGTACTTCAACTTTAGTTAAACACCAAGGAGCAGTGTCATTCTAGTTAAGTGATCTAATTTCTCCAAGTATTCAGTTTGTTATGGAAGTCACTGACAAACCTGTATCTTGTCCAAATCATTTGTTATTCTCTGCACTTATCACATCCATCCTAAACTAGTATAATTTTACTTCAGCTTCTTGATATAAAAAGCCCTCCCCACAAGGCACTAATAATTTTTCACCTACAGTTTTGGCATACCTTCCACTTCTGCTATATCTTCCAAGGTGGGCAAATAAAACTGAGCCCCAGGAAACTGGAAAAGAAAAATACATAGTGGCATTAACTTCTAAGAAATTTTGGGCCAAACCCTCAAATCTAAAATTTACCTGAAGGAATAAAAAAGAAAGAGGCTGAAAGGTTCTCTTAAATACAAACACTGCTATCTGAAGCAAATGGCAGGTGAGGGAAATGTGAACAATGACAGCTCTGAAGAAGTCCTTGTAACATCCCAGTACAGGTCAATAGCAAATAAATTTTGATTATGCTTAAGACCAGGAAAAAAAATTTTAAAGTGACATTAACCAGAGAACCTCCATTCTTTCTTAAGCACTCAAATAAAACATTGTTGCAGTTCGACATGTTGCAATTTGCACATTCAACATGCAACCATTTTGTTATATTACCACATGCTATTTCTCAAGTGCAATGCATTTTTCCTCAAAACCTTACAAAATTCCCCTCAGACATGTAAAATAAACTAGACTGAGGCTCTCCATCCCTATCGCTACCCAGTTGTTTGTAAGTGAATCCATTAAAATTTATGTCCCAAGAAGCATTTTTCTCCCATCATTTCTACATACATTTTCTTTGCTATAAGCATCAAGTAAGAACATCTGATTATTTTATTTTAGTCTTTTCTAGTAGTTTAGTATTTACTTTCCCTACATTATAGGCTCCTTTTAAGTACTTTAGTATCTTACTGTAGCAAACATTTTTGCAATTTACTCAGTTCATAAGAACAGGATAGTGAAACTATTAATCTCTTGTTCACAAGGCCTTCCAAAGATTGACAGTATCATCCACTGGTCAAATGTTACTTCACACACTTTCCCTTCAAAATATATATAAAGAGTTTTTTAGGCAGATCATATACATCTACAAGCTATACATCTTAAATACAAGTAAGTAACCCTATAACAGACATCTTTGTTTAAAAGCTTTATTTCAGTTTGAAAGCTTAATTTGAGAGGTACAGGTGTTCTCCAACATGAATCAGTTCAGCTAAAATAAAATTATACCAGTTGCATGTCTGTCTTATCTCCTGATCTAATATTAAACTTCTAACATTGCAGATTATGATGTCAAGACAGACTAATATGATCATCCACAGTGACCTCTTAAGTAACACAGGCCACAGATTTACCTGTATTAGTTTCTGTTCAAATTGGAGCATACCTCTTAGAAAAACAACTAAATTATACTGAATTCTCCCACACATAAAAGCCAACCCACCACTTAATCATTAAGTATCCCATTTTAAATGAATAATTTACAAATCTAGCTTTACTTTTAGTCTAACTTTATCAACTTTGACTTCCAGGCCCTAGATATCATTATATTTGTCTACCAGCTAAAAAAAAAGTCCTCCATCTTCAGATTTCTGCTCCCCACATTGGTCATAATAATTGATTAATAATTTGATTAATATACTTAAAAGTGAGCCTTGAGGAGCTCAGTCTGTTCAGCTCATTATTTTAAAGTCTCTTTCCTGAACACTCTCCAAACTATCACCATATTTCTTAAATTGTTGGCTCCAGAAGTGGACAATATATGCCATATAGGTCATACTAGTTCTAGACAGAGGTTAAGAAAAAGTTGTATTAACTCTCTTGGCCTCACCAGGAAGCTCTCTTCAGTGGATTACCCATCAGGAAACCCTACAAAGTCCTTTTCAGTCACTGCTTCACAGGATAGTCACCCCATTCCACAAGAATGGCCCATTTTCTTTGTTACTTAATGCATATCTTAATATTTAGCCATATTAAAAACAATGTGTGTGTGTGCCCAGTTTATCAAGCAATTCAAACAGGATTAAAGACTCTCTCTTCTCTTTACTCTATCACTTTAATCACTTGTATTGTCTGCAAACTCAGGAGCAAGTTCATATTTCCTTCTAGGTCATTTATAATGTTAAATAGCAGATAGCCAAGAACCAAAACCTGTGGGACAGGAAACACATGCACTTGACTCCTCATTTACAAATATATTTTGAGACTTAACAGAGACAATTTTGTACTGCTCATGCTTCTTGCATAACATTTTGATTTAGCCAAAAAGCCTTTCAAAACACTATTACAGCTTCAGCTGATAAAAGTAATCTCATAAAAATGCCAAGATAGGATGTATTTTTCATATCAAAACTAAGCCTTTAATGACTGACACTAATTGCATTTCCTCTTTAAGACTTTGATTAATTAAAAAAAAAAATCACGGTTTTCATTATTTGACCCAGGACAGATGTAGGCAACCAGATCTACAGATGTAAGATTATCTACATAATCTTATTTAGTCTCTTAACTGTTGGCAAATTAGAAGACCGGAAGAAAGCTAGACTGTGCCTTGCTTTCCAAGACTCACTAAATGAAAGGCAACATCAGTGGTTCAAAGCAGGAGGTGGCAACCTATGGCGTGCAGGTCCCTTAGCAGTTCAGGAGAGCAGAAGCACATAATGTCCTACAGACTTGAATGGATGGCAAAGTTAGGCATATGTGGCTTTGGCTTTCTGGGAAGGGGTGGAAGGAACTGGGGGCAGAAATTTGGGGCCAATGACATGGTCTGGATTTTAAGTAGCAGCAAAAGGCTGACAACCCCTGGTCTAAAGTACTCCTTGCCCAGCTCTTAAATCTTCAATACAATTTCTCTAGGTCAGTGGTTTTCAAAAAATTCTCATTTGCGGATTCCTAAAAAATTTCAAATGGAGGTGCAGACTCCTTTGGAAATTTTGAATGGAAGTTTGGACCCTTCTGAATTATACATTTAGAGGGGTCCAAATCTGTAATCAGCCACATGCTTTTGGTTGATTAGTCATCTTTTGCGGATCCCTTAGAAATAGTCTGCAGACCACCAAGGGTTTGTGGACCATAGACTGAAAACCACTGCTCCAAATATACAGAATTAAGAAAGGTTTTTCATTTTAGCCGCAGCAGGTTAACACGCTCCTTAGAAAACATTTTCTGTTCTTCCACCAAAACAAGTCTAATAACTAGATGACAGGATTGTTGTGAGGTGTAATTAGTTTTTATGAAGGACTTAGATCCTTTGACAAAAGGTACCAAAAATATAAATAGAAGGAAGAGGAATCTTGCTGAAAAACAGAAGTTTGGTGACAATTATCTTGTTTAGCTCCTACTCCGAATACTCTTCCTGTGCCTGAAAAAGGGTGTTTGTACCTGAAAGCTTGCAAGTTTTTCCAACTATTTAGTTGGTCTAACAAAAGATATCAGATTTACCCAAAGAACCTTGTCTGCCTATGTCCTGAGCCCAACATGGCTACAACCAACAACCCTAAACCAGGCTGGAAAAAGCATTCCTTTTGTTCCATAACTGCCTTCATATCAAGTATTTTCAAAGCAATCTCAAGTTGGAAAAAGAAAACCCAGTTAAAAGTCAGCTTCACATTTAGCAATAAAGAGACCAAGCAAGTTTGCTTAAGCAAACAAAGACATGAAGAATGAAACATTCACACAGGCACCTACTAAATCACCCCCATGAACAAGCTGTGAATAATCTAAAGCATGATGTTAAATACAGTTGGAATGTCAACTCACTGATACAATTACTAGGAAATATTTCCTAATAACCAATTTCAAGTATGCATGCATCAAGGCACCAATTAGATAAATTCATAAATTAAACTGATGGAAACAGAAAAAAATACAAACATAGGAAGGCTGGTGATAATTCAGTGAAATTAATGCTTTTAATGATGCTTTCAGTGAATTAAAGTTCCCTTCAAAGAACTTTCAAAATTCATGACAGGACTCACCACAACCAAATACAGTAATCTTAAGAAAAAGTTTTGTTGAAGCGCTGAGATGTGATAGAGTTGATATGCCACCTACCTTGAATGTTTACAAAGTTTACGGGGTCTATTATGCAATTTCCGATCCCAACTCTCTGGATCACTGGAGTTACTGTCATAAGGATGAGGCCGTCCTGCCATTCCACTGCAAGCTTCCTCACACTACTGCTCTGAAAAGCATACATGCAGCACTCATAACCTACATTAAAAGAGCAGTGTCGACCTTTAAACAATGTCTTACAGAAAGAAAGATAGATGCAGAATTTAAATTGCTCTCTGTTAGTTTATTTTTTAATACAGACTAAAGAAACTGGGACACGCACACAAGCATTCATGGCACAATCTTACACTTTCCACCCAGCCTGCTGACACTGACTCTAAAATCCCTGCACTGAAACAAATATAATTCTATACACTCAGGAGAAACAACTTTAAATATGATTTATTCCATTTTGTGCAGACTAAACTGTCACTAGTTACAAGCACAACAGGAACACTTTCATATATTTTAGCCTATACAAATGTAATTCAGAAACAAGATTCTTTTTGTGAAGGAAGCGTTTATATAAAACCATTCCTTAGACATAGTATGTAATCATCTATCATGTTCAAAGTTCCACTCTTCATACAGCTGCAAAAGCAGAATTAAAAGCACCATCTTTATAATTAGCAAGAAGTTACACTACATTCTGGCTCTAATACCAAACAGAAGGAATTAACTACCAAAATGTACTGAAAAAGAAATCCTTCCAAAGTCCATAAGAATTAAAGATGTGTATACAATCAGCTGGAGATCCTGGAAGCCCAGAGACACTTAAAACAGTTTTCAAACTAGCACCAAATTCTGTGATAAATCCCTTAAGTCTATGTATACATAAAATGACTTATAACTACAAAAGCAGAAAGTTTTGAGTGATATAAAATGGTCATATTGGGACTAGAGAATATACTCTTCAGAGAACTAATAAATTCATAATGTTTCAGTTACACAAATTTTCATGAAGTCTACAGAGTCTGAGGACAGGTAGACATTATATTATACCTGTAGAAGTGACCAGAAACCAATCTATACCCATAAAAGAACAGAAGTTCGGCACACGTAGTCTGGCTTATAATGGTAGAACCTGGTCTAAAATTTCCCGAAGGGCAAATGTGTGTTTTGTTCCTTACCAATCTAAACACCTAAGGAAAGCAACATAACTTATATCAATTCTGCCTCAGACTTTTTGAACGTCTGTACCTAGCCTGAAAAGAGTTGTTAAAAAAGAGGCAGCAGAAAGAGAGCAAGTGCCTACTACATTGATCTAGCAACATTAAATCCAAATACTCTGACCTGATCTTGATCTCTCTTTTCACTGTTATCCAAATTCCAAGGATTAGTATTTTTTACCCATTATAAATATTTGTTATATCTAGTAATCTTTGTAATATAAATACCTCACTCTCAAAAATGAACTTCTATTAACAAAAAGATTTTTACGATGGTTGGAGAAAACAAAAAAGAAACCCATCCCACACTACATATTGTACCTGGAAAGTCTTTTCCAATACCTGGTACAGTGAATGAGACTTAGTATTTTAAATTTCATCAACTCAGGTGAAAAAAAAAAAAGGTTTATGCTCTTCCATGTAAGTATTTGTGAACTGTCTAGGTTTTATAGAAGGTTGTTGCATTCATTTCTCACAAAATTAAAGGAAAGGTTTTCTACTAGATATTCTTCTAGAACAATTCAATATACCTTCCAGCTATCTGCTTAATATTCTACTCTATTTTTAAATGTCATATAAGCACAAAATTTATGCAACTTCATAATACACTAATCAAATTTTTTGCTTTACTGTTTACCATAACAATCAAACATCAACTATCTACATATTGATTAGGTCCATAAATCACTTAAGTGCATAAAAACTCTCAGGCCCATCTACTGTGTACTTGGCAACGTAACTGTCCTCCATTTAGCTGCAAAATAAATGACACTGATTAGAAACTGTCAATTTCAAAGCTTCTAAGGCAGCTCTGTTAATTTCAAGACTGCTACTGAAGGTAGAGGCATTCCTAAGACTACCTTCCTTTTGTACCTAATGAGCACTATTTTCATTGAGCTCTGGTAAATGCATATTCCAGGCTATGCAATGAAAGATCATACTATACAGTATAAATCCCACTCTGCTAAAACAAGTGTATACACTGCTTTTTTACTCCAGTGGGACTAATCACACACATAAAAGTTTAGTGTTTTAGTCCTAGTATGCTTAGGAAATGCTCAACTCGACCCTTACTTTCCTCTACCATAACACAGAATTTGTAACCAAATAGCCATACTTCTGAAATATCGATTTTGTGAAACTTTACAGTTAACCCACAGTACAGTGGCCCATCCTACAAACTAATGAACTCTCTCTCTCTGTGGTACATATTAAATTGATGTAAGAGGCAAGTATAAATTTTTTTAGAAGCCAAAAATCGAGGTGCTGAAGCAGCCCAAGCTGTTATTTTCTATTTTTGTTCACAGTACATTAGAAGATAAAGTAGCTAAAGTGTGCTTGTACCAGAAAGATAAGGACTCCCCCCCCCCCCCAAATTTAAGAATGAACACTCAATTATTCCTGTGTTACAGAATCAGAAAAACAGAGCTGGAAGGGACCTCAGAAAGTTGTCTAGTCAAAACCAAAAGACTGTGCGCTGAAACTCTTCCATGATAACTTAAAATGTATTTGATCCAACCATCGGGTATGTTAGTAGACATTAAATACATACCTATATTTATCACTTATCATGCTAAACAAAGGGGTAACTTAACATGGACTGGCAAAATACAGTGGGTTAGTATTCAGAATTACTTCAGGAATAATTACCTTGAACAGGGGTTGACAAGCCACCCCAGCTGAAGTTTGCAACCTAGCTCCCTGCTGAAGGACACAAACCTCTGCCTCTCTCCCGAGAGCTCAAACTGTCTGCGCTTACTCTTACTGGTTCCTCTGCAGCAACAGTAACCGCAAGAACAGCGAGCAGCAGGGAAAGCTGCTGAGTAGAGTGCTGCAGAGGGCAGCCTGGCCACAACTGCCTGCTGCCCAATCCCCCAAGCTGCTCTGGGTAGGGTCAAAACCAGCCCAGGAGCCATAGGATGCTGAACCCCAACCTAGACTTTGTTTTTCATTAATTCTTAAGACAGGTACAATATACCTAACATTTTAGTTCACAGCAATATAGAATCAAGTCTTTTATATGCTTTCACCTTGAATCAATACAGACTGTATTTAAACATGTATGCTATCAGAGTAGAGACATTTGGGAGCCATACAGCATAAATAGAGCAATACAAAAAAAAAAAAAAATCAGGTCAGAAAATGAAGATACATTTTTCAACTGATGCTATACAAGGTATTTAGGTAGGTAGATGTGTAGTGAGCCCTTAACTCTTCAACAAATTCTACTGATTGTCATTAAAAGCTTCCCAGCATTTCTAAACCTTGTTTTGTTTAGACCCAAAAAAAGCATTCAATGACACTGTACTTAAGACACCTGTGAATTGTACAAACTAACCTTGTTACCCTAGCTACTGTTAATTTTCTTTTTCCCAACCACTTCTGATTCTTAATAAGTTCCCCTAAACCATCTATTAAGCAGCACAAGCTATATTTCCACAATCACTTTGTAACCAATAGCAAATTTCAATTTCACTTACTTTCTTCAATAAACACTACCATTTGAACAGCTCAGTTTTAACTTTTATTCCAGGAAATGAGACAGCACTAATTCAAATTATTATGAAAACTGCAGCTTGAAGTAGTAGCCAGGCTTCACAAAGGAACGGGACAATTTTAAGTTCACTTTTTCTACAGTTCTTTGCCTCTCTTCTTTGTCTCTCCCTTCAATATTCCTCTCACTTATCATTTAAATACAGAGACAGAATCTCCAAGTAAATGTCAGTATCTCTGTTCTGTTGTATGAAGATGCACAACAAGGCCCAGCCTGCCAATTCCCCAAATGCATGCCAATGGACCATACAGTAAACTCCTACATAAAGAAAAATATTCTTCCCAGCATCCTACCAACACTTCCCTTGATTAGATGAGTCAAATTATAACAAAAATCTCCACAACTCCTTTGCTATATTCCATCAAGGGGAAAAATATTTTCTTCCTGACCGTTGGTGGTAATCAGCTAATGCCCTTCAGCATTAGGATTCATGATCCTGTAATTTTTTTCATACCTAATGTCAATATAGATATTTGTTCAACTTTATTCAAGTATTCTTTTTCAGTTCCTCCTTCATTAGTATCAGTATAAACAAAAATAAATATGTCAAAGACAAAAGAGTGTTAATACCAAAAATAGTTTTGTAGTAGTCTGAACTGAACAAGGAAACAACTGCCAGTTCAAAAATAATGTTGCCGATTCATTTTTTGACATTTGATCAAAAGAAAGGTTATTTACCATGACTCCCGACAGCAGGCAACATAAGCACCCTTTGCAAACAACTTAAAACTTTACAAACAGCATGCTGTCTAACTCCTGCATGACTAGGCAAGTCACAGACAATACACTCCAAATGCCACCCAATTCCGTTCATGACTTTGAGAACATAGTAAGAGCCTAAGTGATAAAGGCAGGCAGGTACTGCGGGTGTATAAACCTCAGTAACTATGGTAACTCTCCTTTTTTTTTTAAGTACTGACAGCCTGGATCTCCACTATAAATAGCCAATAAATCCCAGATCTAAAAAAAGGATTGCTAAGACGACTTCTGGAGTGAAGAACAGTTCTAAAAGATTAGCACAGGCAGTAATCCTGTAAGAAGTTAGGGGTGGGACTTGAGGTATCATCCTTACATTATTTAATGTCCAGTGTGCTCCAACACCCCACAGAACCTGGAAGTTCCACTAGTTACTGAAACTATGCAAAGCCTGATGCACTTCAGCAGTCGGAGTAGCTGAAGGTCCTGTTTACACCTAAAGTTATCCTCCCTAATTATAAATGGGACTTAAGGAAAATCACTGTTCAAGGAAGATTTCCATATACACCAGGGCTTACCTTCTGTATCAATTCAGAATGACAGTATAGGATATAAACAGAGCAGTATCCAGGGGGCCATTTCAGCCTACAATGTTAGAATGAATTTAGTCTTGCCACTGAATAATTATAATCCCTAAATGAGAAAGGGATGTTACAGCCTGTGGACCATTTGGTAAGTAA